TTTACAAAGCATTTAAAATGTGTATGCATATCTGTAAAGAAAAAGGCAGTGCAAATGAGGATAGCCAAAGGAATGAAAATGAAGCATTTTACCTTAGTTTGTTATGAGGCAAGTACCAGAAAACAAGAAACTGTGTTTGGCTTTGCTGTATGCCTAGCTGATCTTGAAGTAGCGTATTTAGTACATACATTTGAATGATTCGGTGCCTTCTTAATCTGTGGAGTATCAGTAAGTTGAGGTGAAATGGGAGGCTGCTCTGTTCCACTCTTGTGCAGTTTGTTTTATAGTTGTCACTAGAGATTTGTAAGTACATATCTAAATTAAAATACTGGATTTGGCCTAGAAGCTTCTGACGGTTGTCATGTCTCATGTAACTTTGGGGAAAAGTAAATCAAAAGAATTGGATACAGTTTTTTGGTCTACCTCAAGACATCTAAGTAGTAGGGGAAAAACATAAACCCATGTGTCTTCTTATTCTGTGAGTAACAGCTCTCCACTGAAAATATGATATGCAGTAGCTGCTAAAATTTTGATCTTATTTTAATCTAGCTAGTAGGTTCTGGTTTTGGGACAGAGAAGGCATATATATTTATATCTATATATACACACACCAGATTTTTGCATATAGTCTGCTCCTTTGATTACTTATTTTTGTTTTGAGGCTTGTTCCTAAATTCAGGGCAAGTTTTGTGCTCCAGTTCTTGAAGCAAGTATATAGAATTTTGTAGAGTTTCAGTGAGAAACAATAATTAACGTCTTAGAGATTAGCATAAATTAAATATATGGTTTTGTTATGCTTTATTTTGTATTCTGCATGTTTTGAGTTAAAGATAGTGAATTTTTTACAGTGATGTAGCTTTTTAACTTTTTTTATAGAATCTGTATTACTTTTGATCTTTGATAAGATTCTAACAGTATGAAATAGATTGTTTGAAATACAAAGACGTAAAACCAAAATTATCCAGGTACATTTGACAGTTTTATTATTATGTTTTGATCAGTTTTACTCTAGTTCTACTATTAAAGGGCATAGCTGTAACAGTTTTATGCTAGAGAGCAGATAATAAATTTCTTCAGCTAATAATTGCTATTCAATCTTTTAATCAAAAATGCCATATCTGTTCATGCACACTGTTTAGTGCTTTGAAATAATCAACGTGCTTTTTTGCTTTTTATGTCTGTGGAAAAAAACAACCTACGTGTTGTAGCATGATGGCAGTGGTATTGCTGGCAATCTTCTGACTTTTACCATTGACCTTCTCTCCCATCCAGGGCATTAAGGCTGGTAATTTCTAATATCTGTAATTCCAGTGATGTTTGGATCTATATTCATATTGGATTCACCTCCAGAAGGTGTCATCCGGGCTCATGGCTTTTGTAACTGCTGGTATTTAGATCTGTTGCCGCTGGGGAACGGGTGATTGTCCTTTTTGTAGTTTCTTGGCGCTTAGGTCAGAGCATTATTTCAGAGAAGAGCAGAACTAGTTGTAAAATGCAGAGCAGATGTGGAATTAAACTCTTTCAATTTAAAAAAAAAAAAAAAGTAAAATAGGTCCTGAATTCATTAAAGATCAGTTGGGGCTTTTTCTTTGAATCAGTTATTGACTGACATTCTGGAGTCATTCTACTGGTTGACCGTGTAATTCCAGCATTTTTTTATGGCTTAAATTTGTTGCAGATGTTTTTCTCTGTACTTCTTTCTAGTCTTTGATATAAAACTATATGATCCTGCCATTTCTTAATTCTCAATTACTTCTTTTACAATTTCATAGGTAAAATATCTTTTAATTTCTTTAGCTAAACAATAGGTGATTTTCCTTGTTTCATACATAATATCCTTTGAAGTGATTTTAATAATAAGCAGCAACTTAGCTTCTTGAGGTATTTGTAATATACCTAGTCATTAGATAAAGGAAGAGGACAGACAACTCAATGTAGTGAAGCCTCTTTAGTGTAGTCAAGGTGACGTTGCTTTTCTTTCACCTCCATCCTTTGTGATTTCAATAGAAAAGAGTGAAACTGTCTTGCAATAATTGTGCCAACGTAAGTGTTAGATAGTACAGCTGTTCATTTGGAGTTTTAAACGTTTATGCATTTGTCTTCAGGCATCCAAAAGTAAAGCAGTTACTGTCATTCAGGACTTGGACTACTTTCATCATTCACGGTATAGATTTCTCTCTTACATTTAGCACAGTAAACTCCGTTGTGAATTTCTAAAACAAATTGATCATATTTATTAAGTGAACAATATAACTTTTTCATGGTTTCTCACTTCTAAATTTTATTTTCCTTCTAGTATCTACTAAATATTGGTATGTTGTCTTGGTAGCATCGTGTATTGAACTGGGCTATCTGAATTATGATACATTTTTAAACAGATTCCTTTAATAATGCTTTAAAAACCAGGCTTTTCTTTGAGGATGGGTGTCCCTTTATAGATAAAATTCTGTAGCTCAGACTGTGGCATTCTGCTCTAAGCAACATTATCACAAAGACAGTAATTTTGTTAATTGGTTCATAGTTTGATTATTGCCATCCTCTCTTGCCGATGTGCTATATCCTGGGGTTGCTCAGTGCTGGGAGAGCTGCTCTCCAGTGCTGGGACACAGCTGAGACAACAGAGCCTCCCGGTGACTTGTTCTGCTGAGGCGGTCGTGTTAGGCACTGAAAGGAAAAATGGCAAGTGCTCCTCAGTATAGCAGTCGTAATCTTAAGTTGTACTAATGTGTTAGATCATTGATGTTTAACGTTAATTAACATTATATGTTAAACCTTTTGTCAACAGGTGACATTTTTTCGCAGTGCTGGTCCACATACATGATATCAGCATGGCTGTATTTTCCTATGTGTAGAACTTTTCTCTCTAGATGTCTGGAAGTGGTATCACCTCCATCTTCCTTCTGACCGTGTCCACATTTGCCAGCATAGCTAGGTTGACATGGGAAAAACACTTCTTTAGTAACACGATTTTTGGTCTCTCCCCCTCTGCCCCACTCTAAATCCAGATGTGTTGTTGCCTTAACTTTGCAAAGTGTCTGCTCCCCCAGCTATACGTGTCTGGTGTGTGTAAAGCCTCCCTCCCCGGTGAGGAAATGGACAGCAGCTATCACGAGTTCAACTGTTGTCTAATGCCCATACCTAGCGGTTCTGTATCAGTGCCCCCAGGCCTGTTATACTTCATGTCTGTCTGCAAAGGGAGAATATTTTGGGAGTGTCACTAGTGTAAATTAAGACACCGGTCAACATGATTGTGTCTACAGTGTTGGCTTTGCCAGCTAAGATGTGCTAGCCTAGCTGTGCTGGAGTTGTGGGGTTTTTTGACACTCCCAGCTGACATAACTGTGTTACAAAAATTGCATAATGTCAGCCTGGCCTGAACAGAAAAAGTGGTGGGGTTCTGCTTCTTGCAGCAAAATGAGCTCAGTCCTACACGTTTTCCTACCATTTCTACGTTAAAGGAAAGCATGGAAAAAAATAGTAGCCGCTAGCAGACTTTCAGGGTGGTGCGATAATTATGCTGACAAGAAGGTTTTATGCTCCAAGGAGAGGGGAGGGGCACGTTGGCTCTATGTTAAGAGCGGGAATACTATATATTAATAAAGACTGTTAGTATAGAGAAACCTTAAGTAACCCTTCCTCCCTTCAGCCCCCCATGTGAAAAAAATGCAACTGAATAATAATTTTTAGCTTTATCTTACAGCTTGCAGCTCTGGTGTTGTCTGCTTGCCCCTTCTTTCATAAGAATCCTCTTATCATTGCAGTGTCCTCCTTTGTTCTCCTGCGCCTTTGTGGTTTCCTGTGATTGTAGGATCTGGAAGTTTTGCTATGAAGATCTCACAGTTTACTTTAGAAGTGACGGTGTTTTGCTGTCTTGAGTAGTTTAATCTGCATGTGATTGATGAACCTGAGCTAATTCAGGGTAGTGCTTTTGCGTTTCTTCTTGTTCATTGTGTTTTCATTATTATAACTAAATGCTATGGAGTAAATCCTACTCCTTTGACAGGATATTTCCAACTGAAAGCTGAGATGACAATAAGAATATAGTAGAGTTTTGCACTAGGGATTTAAGGTATTTCCCAAATCAAGTTGGTTTTTTCCCTGCTTTTCTGTTTTTCTGGCACTCTACCACCATCATCTCTGTGATGGGAACATTTTTCGTACTCGTTTTCACATTTTTAAAGTTTCAAAAATGCTTCAGGTGAAGAACAGAAAAGTGTTTACTGATATAGAAGAAACCATAATCTACCAAAGTTGCAGATGCTTCAATATGTTGTGGCAAGTTTTTTAATGTATGGTATGCCAGCATGCTTAATGAGCGCTCTGATTGGAATCTTAAGCCAATCATTTAAGAAATATTCACCCGAAGCTGTATTAGAGTTTAAGCTTTGTGTAATATATGGTGTTTTTTTCCAAGTTAGTGTTCGAAGTAGACATCAAACTCTCATGACCAAACCCATATTTCTGTAATTTACATTTTAACATCTGTGATTCAAAAGGTTAAGCAGGTGATTCTTAATTCCAGTAATTGGTATATATTTTCATTTATTGTCAACACACAGTTATTCCAAACAGACAGTAGTTGAACCGTTCTCAGAATTGGAAAGGAGGTGACATTTTGTCTGATGTTATGGAGAATTCCTGTAAATAAAATTGAGGTGCTTTTTGCTGAAACAAGAGAGTCATTCATTGACTTGGAGTACCTGTATGTTGAGTACATTACAACTTAATTTACCTTGAGGCATGATGAAAGCATCAACATGGCTTTGAACACAAAATTCTTCCTGATGTTTTAAACATAACTGTTGTTGTCAGTGATCTCTAGCTGCTTCTTTACCATTGTAATTTGAGAAAATGTTTGTATAAGACAGAGGAGGTTTCCAAAAGGTACATCGTTTTTAAAAGATTTTAAAAGTTACTTGTTTAGTCCCATATTTGATCAAGCACAACACAATAGTGAAATCCCAACTTTACTGCAGTGAATCTTTTATTTCTGCATTTAGACTCCCTTTTTCCATCTGTCTGTCCCAGGTGGCAAAGCTGGCAGCTGCTGCTTCTGGTCTGCCATTTGCATTTATTACTGTACATGCAGCGACAGAAAAGGAATCCAAGGGTCAGATGATGAAGCCAAATCAGGTGAGAATCTTACTGTTTGTTAGTCTTTAAAATAATACTAGAAGAATCTGCAGAACACCATCTCTTTCCATTGAATTATATTACCCAGTAATTAAAATACATAGCTAAGTAATATGTGCTACTAAAAATTACCTCCTAAATAACTGATCACTATAGCACAAAACATTGTGTTACAATAGTAAGTTAGTAAAGTTTTATCTCATTTTCATTATTACATTATTTCCAGACTGAAACCAGAAAAGGTAATAGTGTAACACTTACTGATAACAGTCTTTTTCTATTGTGCAGTTTCTAGTAATACATGTGTGCATCTTCCAACTATTCTTGTTCATGCTTTTTCTGAATAACAGATATTTTTATCATACCTAGTAATTCTGCTTCTTAGAACCTGGACAATACTTTCAGTTTTCATTTCTGAAAAATTAATCTGTTGTCACACTTGTGTAAAGCAAGTTTGTAAATGTAAAAAACATAATTGGATATAGAGGTTTTGTTTGCTGGAATGGGAATGCTAAGGATTTGCAGTCTTGACAAACACTCTTCAGTGTAAATACTAATCGGTATAGAAAACTATCTCCCTGCAGTACAGTTATGCCTTTTGTTCCAGCTTCCAATTTACTGTCCACCACCTCTGAAATCAAAATACATTGAAGAGCAGCCTGGTCACTTGCAGAAGCAATTTTCTTCAGTAAGACAGACAACCGGCCGCTATATTGGATGGTGCAAGGTAAGAAATACCTGCATCCAAAGTTTTCTACAGTTCCTGACAGCACTAGACTAAAACATTAAAAAAACAGCATGCTTCACCCTAAAGGATTTTTTTGCAGTTCCTTGTATTAGCATACACCTATAATTTAAGCTGCAAAAATGATGTCTTCTCTCGTGTTTCTCTACTGTGCTTATAACAGGAAACCTGTGCGTTCTCCTCGTTTTCCAAATCAAAAGGCAGTGCGAGAAATAGGTCCCCTTCAGTCAATGCTAAACTGGATCTAGCCCAACCCACAACGTCAGGTTCAGAAATATCTCTTGGTTAAGTTTTACATCAGGAGTTACATAGGTAAATTCTTGCTAGCAGAACTTGATAACATTTAGGAGTCTGAAATTCTGGGAACAGTCCACAGAGAGCGAGCAAGATGCTTCCAATGGGCGGGTTAAAAGACCTGATTTAGGTACTTCAGGAAAGACAAACTGACTGCATTCAGTGTAAGTGTTAAAGCAGGCTAATACTAACTAGTCATCAAAAATACCCACAATTCTTTTATTGAATATTCTAGGCATAGAAGAAAATGCGATGCCTATTACCATTCTCTTAACTGCTGGTAAATGACAACTTTACCCTGGCTGGTTTTAGTATGAAATTTTATGCTTGTATTTTTCTCTTAAAAAGTAGACCCTATTATTTGGAAAAAAACAAATATAAATATCTTCCTGTATTTTCTGTTAATTTTGATTCCATTGGTCTGTGAAAATTTTGTCAGTGACTGCATAACTGAAATAATTTAGTTATAAACCTGTATCAAACTTTTCTATGCTCTTAATTGCCATGTGAGTGTTTCCGAGATGGACTAGCAGTGACCTCTGGTGGTACAAATTCTATCTTACTGCAAATTATTTCAGTGAAATAACTCAGGGTGACATTCTTTTTCATTAATCTTCTGAAGAATGGATATTTACTCAATTTTTTTAGCAGTCTGAGGACAATGATAGTAATAATAGGCTAGTAGAAGATTTTTTTCTGATAAAGAAAAACTTGTAATTAAATAAATTGACCAATTTGAAGGGAGTAATTCAAATTAGTTGAGCTCACATGTTAGACCACATCAGTACTGCTTATCTTTAGCAACAATTAGCACCGTTTTTGCAAAAAGACAAAGTCACTTTTACTGGATAAGTCTCTCTAGGGAAGAGGAGATTGTATTAGTATAATTCAATTTTCTTATGTTATACAGTTGGCATCCAGATGTTTTGCTACTCTACAGTTTTGTTCCCGAGATGTCCATTTCAAAAGTGATCTTACTATATTAAAGAGATTTATTTTTTTTAATTAAACCTGAATGGAAGTTTTAAAAATATAAATACGATAGCCAAAAAGGGGATATATCTCAGCACAGCCTCTGTAGAAGTTAACTCATCTGGTTTGGCTTTTTTTAAAGTTTCATGGTATTTCTTTGTCTCATTGTGCTGAGCCATATGTATCAACCGAATAGTTTTGTACTGAAAACATCTACTTTTGCAAAGATTTTACATTTATTTTGTTTTGTTGTTGGTTTTTTTTAGGATGCTTTTGTCTTTGTTAAAAATGGAATAATGGATTCAATTCAATTTGGGAAAGGTAGGCAAGTCACATAATTCTCAATTGAGCATTTTCTGTTGTTTCTCCTTGCAACTTAGATGGTTGAAACAGCAAATTCTACTTATGGGGGGAGGAGGGAGATGGGTGGTAGGGGAGTGCACTGGAATACTTTCTGCAAGTGTGTGTGGGAAAAACTGGGACCACAGTTCACTACAGAGTTTCATTTCTGTTCTCCAATGAGAGAAATGACCAATTAAACAGTATTTCTCATTCTTTTGATTTTTAGCTTTGTTCTTAAAATCATAGTGTCGCAGAATCATTGAAGTTAGAATCTATAGATCCATAGATCTCTCTGAAGAGGTACCTCTGTAGATTGTCTAGTCCAGTCACCTGCTTAAAGCAGGGCCAAAGCAGGTTGCTTAGATCTCTGCCCAGTCAGGTCTTAAATAGCTGCAGGGATGGAAATTCCACAACCTGTCTTAATTATAAAACTTCTTAATTCTAGCACAAGTGACAAGCATTATTTGCATTCAAGTTCAGTATCAGAAACTTTAGATAAAAGTTATTTTCCTTAAAAATAGTATCATGGGAGATTCCAAAATATGTGATTTGTCATTTAAACTATATTAACTCACAGTAAAATCAAAACTTAACACTATGCTTTCCTTTTCCTTTATTAAGTACTAACATTTTACAAAACATTAAAAAGTACCTAAGGAGAAAAATTATCATCTTTGCCGCTGTGTTTTTAGAACAGTGGTTCTCATTCTAACACAGACTGCAGAGTGTGCACCTGGCAAATAAGGCACCTTCATTCATGAACAAAAAAATCCAGTCTTGGACTGTTTTCAGTTTTGGGTATTCCTAATTCTACTTCCATCTTTATTTCTTCAGTGGGAAATAAAATAAAAGGATTAATATTGAATTGCTATGCTTCTTTTTTTTTTTTTTTCTTTTTTAATTCTAAGATGCTTACATTTACCTGAAGAATCCACCACCAGAATTTCTTCCCAAAGTTGGTGTAATTACAGTATCAGGCTTAGCTGGCATAGTGCTGGCAAGAAAAGGTAGGGTTTTTTGCTTATTTTCATTATCGGTGTGTTGAATACGTAGCGTGTAGTAATTTTAATGGTCACAAGACTTTTCTGAAACATAGGCGAAAAACTATGTAACTAGTATTAAATCCATCTTGATAAATGGAAGGGACATTATTAAATACTACTTCTAGAAGCCGGCCACGACCTACCAGAACAGGATTATATGGTCATTTTTAATGGTGGAATTAACAGAAATTAGGACAGTTGGTTTTTGAGTTTGTTCATTACTGGTTTTCAGAAACAATGTGTATATGGGAGGAAATCGGAGACAAATTAACAGGCAAGGTTACTGAATGTGGTGAAAACTAAGGGAATTTAGAGGGAAGAAGCAAAAGAATGTTGGTGTTTGGCTGACAGGTACAAAAGAATACACATTGGAAGGTGTGGTTTCGGTAGCTTTCAAGCCAAAAGGGTAATTTATTAGATACAGGTGTCTCTCCTTTCAAGGTAAATATTAGAGGAATAATACTTAACCTGCCAGAAAATACTGTTCAGAAAATGTTGATCTGTAATACCTGAGTGCATGTCTATCTGAATATTTCACAAAGAAAACATATGAATCAAAATATTGGCAGATTAGTGAAAGCATTTTTCTTGTATGTCTGTTACTTTTTGGTGGATGCATTTAAAAAACAAAAATAAACAAAAAAAACCCCCAAAACAGAACAAAAAAACCCCCTTGGACTTGAGAATCTATCATCAGGGCTCCTTGTCAACAAACAGGAACCGGAGCCTGGCCCAGCTGTTCTCCCCTTTGAACAGAGGCCCCAGTTTCCAGGCTCCTGGCTGCTCCAAATGCTGCACTCGATGTCCTCAAGAGAGTGCACGTGGAGCTAGTGAAGAACCGCAGCAGCTCCTAAATAACGCAGACATTTGTCTCATTTTTCACAATATTGGAAGATCTAATTTGGGATTATTTCTCATTGAAGAAACCAGTGTTTGGAATATCAGTATCTCCTGCAAACGTGACTCTACTAAACTGTAATCACACTCTGTATTCTTTCCTCCAGCTGTTAGGGAGTTAATTTTGATGTAAACAATGATTAGGGGTTGAGCAATTGGATTTAATTGATACAGCTACTTAGCTTTACATTTCATTAGTGTCTAATTATTTGAAATATTTGGCTTTGTACAGATTCTAGATTTAAGAAAATTGCTTATCCTTTGGGACTTACTACTTTAGGAATTTCTGTTTGTTACCCAGCTCAGTCAGTGGTATTTGCTAAGGTAAGTTTACTTTTATTTTAATGTTGAATTAACAGTGAATATAGTCATAGCATTCCCATTTTACTTGAATTAAGTGTCATAGGACTAGGAGTCAGAATTCACCTGCATCTTCATTAAAACATGCAATGCTTCACAGGTGTTAATTGCATAACTATAAAAATTTAATAAACTGAATTTAAAAATGCAGCCTCTCAAACTTTTAATCCTCACTTCTCAAATAAATGCAAGATTATTTTATCTTGCTGAAATAAAAGTACATTAAAAATAAAGCCTTGCTGAACTTAATAGATATGCAATTTGAGATACTGTACAATTGCATCTCTTGTAAGAAATACTTGTTTTCCAGTTACTGTCATCTTGCAGTTGTCTCCCTAATTAGAGTATGTCTTAGCTGTTTGTGTAGAAAAGCAGAACTATACTTAATACTTTGTATGCAAGAATTGTTTGCACACAGTACTTTTCTACACAAAAAGTGAATTGAAAAGCAGGATATAAAGTCTATGTATCTCTTCCTCCTCTATAGTTTTCCAGTGTTTCCCTATTTAGAAAAGCACATACTACTTCATAAGAATTCTTCGTAGTTCCTTGACGAACTTTGTATTTATAGTTTTAAAACTGCACTTCTGTGTTAAATTGATGAGGCAGGAAAATTTAATTTAGTTGTGTTTGGTTATAGGACTTATCAATCTTTTAGTTAAATGATCAGATTTAAGTTTTGACAGAATTTTTTTTGAAACGTTATTCTGAAATCTGATTGAAAAAACTACTGTTGAATCTCTAACTTTTCATCATGCTGAAACAGTTGTTATGGTTATGAATTTTAGTGAAGTAGTTTTGTTTGGTATTTTTATACTTCCAGAGTACTTGGGAAGATACTGCAAAGACCTGTAGTGTGGTTAAAATCATTGGGCAATGTTATATTGCTAAACCCATATGTTGTTTTTTTCTTATATGCAAATCTATGAGGATTACAGTTTCTCAAGAAACCAAGGGATTTCTTGGCTTATTGTCGTAAGATTTAAATGTCAGGGTAGGAAGATGGAGAAATTAATAGGAATGCTACGCTGTACATTATGACCTATCTCAGGAAGCTAAATCCTTTTTTCCTATCTACTCACATTATGTATCACCTTTTGCACAGTTTTTTGTAGTTGCAGCAGTGAAGTACTCTGTTTCTACGGAGCATTTGTAAAGGTACTCCATACTTAGTGCAGTATTATAAAATTACTTTTTGAAAATAGACTGAAGGATGTGGCCATTTGTAAAGCAAAGCACTGCTCAGTAACGTGGGCCAGGTCATCTTTTGGGGCTTTTTCCTTCTGTGTTACTGTCTTAGATCATTTCCAACATAGTGAGACAAGTTTGGATCCTTCAGAACTGCTGCTCCAGCCTGTTGTGCTACCATTGCCAAAACACTGTTTGCTAGTCAGGTTTTTATTTCATTTTAAGTAGGGGGATGTAGCATGTGAATGCTACCTGTGGATTCCTAATACCAATTTAAACATTATTTAGGATTTGCTTGATGTAAGAGAAACATGCACTAGATCTTGAAAAGTAGATTATTAAAATGTCATAGTGTGGGGTCAAGCACGATCTCATGCAAATAAGATGCATTTCATTTGAATGGTCTCTGTATCTTAGTATTTTTAAAGCTGTTGTTCAATTATGTTTTTCTAAAAAAATAGGTAACAGGGAAAAAGTTATTTTCTGCAAGCCATCAAACCTATGAAGCTGTGCGATCACTATGGGCAAAAAAAGATGTCACCAAGGTAGGCTTTCTGAAGTAATGACTGTACCTCACAAATTCAAAGGGAGAAAAAAGTAAATTAGAAGGTCAAGTCCTATTGTGCTGATACTGTTTAAGATTACTAATTGCATTGTGATGCACAGAAACCCTTCTGATACCTTTGTAACTTCAGTGTTTAATTGATGTCATATCTGCTATACCTTTCAGACCAATAGATGTTGAGATCCCCTATGTAGTCCCACAAAACATGCAAGATGCACAAGAGAAGACTGAGTTTCTCTTATAGCTCAGTTTTGATGTTGACAAAAATAATCCATTCTGATTCAACCTTTGGTCCTAAGCAGACCGCTGAATTTAAGATAGACACACAGAATTACAGTAGGTATGACTAGCTTATTCTTAAAGATACCAGTGAGGGAAATTCCACAGCCCTTCCAGGTAGTCTGTTTTAATTACCCTGTGATAGAAATTGTCCATGTCTGATTTTACTTTTTTTTTCCTTGTCCTGTCCTCATTGCAGCCATAGTGAATAAATGGTCAGTAACCTCTTTATATTGACCTATTGCATACGGGAAATTTATCATGGTTTTTGACATTATCTTCTCCCTAGTATAACCTTTTCTCATAGAGCAGGCTTTCTAACTTACGTAATTCCTATTCTCCTCTGAGCTTTCTCTAGTTTCTCTCTCTCCTTTTTCTGTTTTTAGGTTTTTTTGTATGTGGTTTGTGTTGTTTGTTTTTGGGTTTTTTAAGTGAAGTGGTCAAAATCGGACATAGTAAACTCGCTGAGGCCTTGCCAGCACTAAGTGGAGGGGAGTATTGCCCTCCTGTAAATTACATATGGAAGTTGGGTTAGTGCATCCCAGAATTAAACACGTTGTTTGTGCAACCTGAAAGCGTTTTTCTCTAGTGGAAATTTAAAAACGCCTGGCAAAAGTAGTACTTCCCTGAGTACAATTTCAGCTTTGCACAGTGATTTTTTTTTTCTCTTTTTAAAGAAAATGAAAGCTTCTCAGTCATATTAACATTTAGAAGTATTTTACTCTAAATTTATGGTCATCATTTCTATGCAGTCCTCACCTTTTATTTCCACTAAGGAGTGCAAATGGAATTCTGAATTTTGAAAATGAGATTGAGATAACTGTAATTAAAGTGATAGCAAAACAAGAATTGATGTGGTAAAGACAGTTTCCATTAACTTTATTTTTTTCCCCGAGTGAAGCCTGTTCACCAAACAATATATTTATTTTTCATTACTAGACTGTTACCATGATTTATCTTTCCATCTACTGTTAACTAAGGGTAGTGAGTGTTCTGTAAAAACTAAATGCTATTTCAGTCTTGTGTAAGACTGTAGGTTCCTAATCTGTAAGTGAACAGTGACTTCCTTGTGAAGTACTTTGAGGGTCTCAGGTAAAAGCAGAGTTCAGACTTAAGTATATACTTGTGACAAACTAAATTTCCTCATGTGTGAATTTGAAGTTACTGTATCTGAACTGTGGGGTTCTTCCACGCATTTTATTTTTTCCAGCTGAGTCCCTTGCATGCAGCTGACTTTACTAGTTGAATATCATTGTATGATGTCACATCTGAAAATAATTTCATAAAGATAAGCTTTCAGACTTGAAACCTTTATTTGCAATAATGTATTAAGCATATACCCACATGCATTTTTTTTATTAATGTTTGGTTTACAGCTGCAGCAAGAGTCAAAATCAGTTACACAAGAAGATAAGAAAGAGATTTCTAGTACAAAACCCGAGTCTGCTATTGAGCCGAGATCATTTAACACAACAGAACCTTCTCCAGTAGAGTCTTGGAGTAATAAAGATCCAGTGCCTTCATCAGGTGAACATTTCACGTGTGATCTCAGGGCAACTTGCAAATACAATTTCTTGACTTAATTTTGTAGTTACCCTCACTTTAAAATGGAGCAGGCTGTCATAGCATATTATTCTTGAGAATACACTGGATGCACTGTCATTTAATATATACTTCAGAGCCTCAGGGAAGTGGTCATCTTCTCACTGTGGACCCTGTCACAGTATCAGAATTGTTACATATTTGTTGTTCTCTCTCAATAATGTTTTCTTTTATTTCATATGGTGTGGACCATATCCCATATTGTGGGATATGAGCTGATGCCATCAAGTACTTCTGTTAAATACCTACTTTATCTTTCTGCTGTCTGAATACTGTAAGTGTAATTTAAAGGATTACTGCTGGATTTTTGTGAAAACAGCTAATTTGAATCACTGTTCATTTCTCTGTATGGGTTCTATATCTTCAGATATTGGTAAAAGAGATGTGTAATTGACAAATGAAGCATTGGGTTTTATTTTGCTGTTTTTTTGCAGTGATGTTCTTTGTGTATCTTTAAGTGGTTGAGATAATCGACTAGATCATGTGGCAGTGTCCTGGTTCTGGCAAGGATAGAGTTTAGTTCACAAGGAGCTATGTAACATACAAATATCTCAATAGGCCAATTGCTAAGAGAGATAGTGGAATTAACTATAAAAGAACAACTAAATTTGTTTTAAAATATTGTTACCTTTTGTAGGGGTGATTTCTGAATTTTATTCATCACTTAAACTTGCTTACTTTTTATTGTGTCCCTGCCTGCAGCAGGGGGGTTGGGACTAGGTGATCTTTAAGGTCCCTTCCAACCCAAACCATCTGATGATTCTTTACCAGAACCTTTTTTTTCTGGAAAGCAAGCAGAGCAGATTTGGGTGGGGGGTTTAATTTCTTTTTCCTTTATTTTCACTATAATACACATTTGCATCTTTCTTTGCTTTGCACCTGCATTTTTTCTGATTTAGTTTGTGGAATGCTTTTGCATTCACTTCAGGCCAGACTGTCTTTAATGGTTTTATGCATATAGATCTCTTCTGTCTTTGCTTTCATGGGTGTAATTAGTTCATGTCCCTAATAGTACAGGGAGTAGGAGGAAGACCTGCTCTCCATCCTTTGCTGTATGTTAGTAATTACAACATGCCTTCATTGTCCTGTATCATTTACACAGTTTTAACTGGAACGTACATATGTTGGTCTTTTGTAAGTGTTTGGTAATACAGTAATTTTCAAGATGTGTCAATAAGCTTTTTTTCTACGGGTCAAATATATATATGTTTTTTAATTGAATGTCTTTAATATCTCTGCCAGGAACAGTGAAGACACCAAAATTTAAGCCTGATCCAAAACTTATGGACCATGGTCAGTCCAGCCCAGAAGATGTGGATATGTACAGTACTAGAAGCTAAGACGAATCTGCTTACGAATCTTTGCAAAGTATTACAGATAAGGGGGAGGGAAGGAATAATCCTTACAATACATACTCTGTGAGGTATAATTTAATCAGGTATTTTCTTAATTCCCAATTTGTATTATTGACTTACATGATTCTGTTTAGCGAATATTTTGTTGCTCACTACTTACAAGCAGTGAGAATTCACTCATTGTCAGTGTCATTAGCAAGACACTGAGAAAATGAGATTTGTCAATGTCTTCTCACAATGAGCTTGTTAATAAATGTCGCTTCACAAAGGATATGTGAAAATGTAAACATGTCTCTGTACTTTTGCTCAAATGTTCATTAATCTAAAAGATGAATGTGATGGATGGAGTTTGCAGAGGCTTCTTTGTCTTTTTTCTTTCAGCTCTGTAATGAAGTGCAACTTCTTACTGGTCTGAGTACCCTTAAAAAGTCAGTTGTTGAATCATACAAATAGCATTATCTTTAATGCTTGTATAAATAAGTCACTTTTTTTATTGCAAAGTCATTTGTTGTTGTTTGCCCCTTTCACAAAGGTGAATGGAAGCAACTACTTGTCCTGCATGCTTCTTGTGTATTTAAATGTCACTTAAGTTGGGAAAAAACAGACAACCGATCTCTCAAACATCCTTTATAGACCACATATTAGTTTTCACCTACTTCTAATACTTTGAAGAAATGTAAGCAAATTGCCTAATCCATGAAACTGATACTGTTTGAATTTATGGAATGTGTTAGCAATGTTTAGGAAGTTGGAAACCTTCTGTAGTTTTGAGATTTAGAGTGCTGACAACTATTAAAAATGCAAAAGTAATAGGCAGCCAACTTTTTCTTCCCAGAAGTTGGTATGCAATACACCTAGATATTGGTAGGATTTCTATGAACATAAGAATGAAATTAGAAATTGATTAAGTTTCCTAGGATGAAACTTTCAAACACTGCTTTTATCATTGTGTATGCCACTCTACTTCTGTTCATCCTCCATTGGGTTGGAATAGATCTAATGGTCTTCCCTGAACACAGTGCAACTCGTTATCAGTACACAATGATAATTAGCCTGCTGCCTAGAGGTAATCTCATCTGTATCTAATGTGGCACTTCCTTAATATATAAACTGCAAAAGGACACTGTACTGGTAGTTTGTCCTTCATCTGTTGAATTCTGTTATCTTTCAATTAATGAAAGTATGTGCTTTGTTGTGAAGTTGAGGGGGGGAAGGAAGAACAAACTATACAAACATGGTTTGGTTAGAAGACTTAAACCTGAAAAGAAATGCTGCTTCATATGAATGTGTTCTCAGCACTGGCATATGAAGGGATGTTTGCTCCTGTTCCCCATAAGAAGAGATTTCACAATCTGATTCCTTCTTCTAAGGCCTCTAATGCAAAGGCAAATGTCTAGTGAAATACAGACAGACAATATTCCCAGCGTCACTGTGGGACTAGCAGAAGTTGTGTGGAGATACTGCACAATGGGATGTGCGCAAGGCACAAGTGACGAATGAGCAAAAGAATAAGTAAGGCTGTTATGATGGTTCAGAAACAGAGAAGTATTGATATTTTGGAATCCAAATTTCAGGCAAAGTGTTTGACTTTGTTATACAGAGTCCAACGGAAGGTGAAGCCAGTGAATGTGAAATTTAAAGAAGAAGAATTCTATTAGTTAAACTTGCTTAGGATAGTTGACTTAGAATTTAATGTGTTTTGTTTCTTTAATCATCTCTTAAGGCTCAGGAAACTGTCAGAACTCAGGCAGCAATAAGAGGATATTAAATCAATCTTCAAAGACCTCCTGGACAAGACACATTTAGTATTCCATCAGAGAGAGAGGAGTAGAAAAATTAGATGGCTGGGCTTCATGTACCATTTCCAGGGAAACAGATGAAGACCTAAGGCAGAAAGTGAAAGTGGTGAAGAAATGATCATTTTCAAGTGCAAGACTGGATGGCAGAAATTGAATTATCTGTCTCCCTTTGATCAGATTCTGGATCAAAAAAGTAAAGGAAAACCCACCTGCTCTACTCCTAGATTCTGTTTAAATTCTAACTTACGTTCTTTGAGTGATATGCTACCACAGCAAGTCAACAAGAAAGGTAAGATGATGCAGGTTTGCATGGATTTTGTAGGGGTTTACTGTGGTGACATTTTTCAGCACATAGTGGAAAACTATGCACAGGAATTAGTCTTCTGGGAGCGGGGAGAGGAGCTACCTTGGATAGCTGTTCAGGAACAAGTGTGTCTGCCCTTTCCAGGCAAGAGTAGGTCTTGAAAGACTGTCCTTACCTGCAGTGCCAAAAGCTAGGCTAGTCCTTTCCATACTTTAAGGGGATTTCCACTCAAACCTCATGATACAAATGAAAGTGTCTGGTCTGCAAAAGGTGCACTGGGCTCCTTGGTGGTCAGGCAGTGAAGAATTAAATGTTTCCTGCCAGCTGTTCGTATTACAACCCCTGATGTAACAAGAAGTTCATGCTGTAAATGAACGTGATACACAAAGCTTTCCCCAGGCTGTATTTTAGTCTCGAATTACTCCTTTGGGAAAAATTGTAATAGAACTGTGCCTCAGAGTTAAATTGTCATTCAGAAGTCTCAGATACATTTCCTGGGACATAACTTAAAATTATCGCTCCTGCCCACTTTGATGAATGAACGATATGAGGAATACAGTTCTAGAGCTCATAAAATGGTATTTCTGTGCTCTGTCATTTCTTAGTGGACAAGAGGAGTGAGCCAGCACAGGTTTATTCCAGTACAGGATTTGTCGTCTACTGTCACTTTTTAGCTCATTTTTCTGGTCAGTTGAGATTTCTCTGTCTCATTCTTCTCTACAAGAGAGGGCAATTTTTTATGGTTTGTTTTCTATCAACAGTTTTTGTTTAATAGCCCAACACAGTTGAAAAGCTGACACTAAAATTAGAGGCTTGGGTTTCGGCACTGAAACAAATACAGCTATTAGAGGACTGTCTCCCTATCTGCAGCCAAAGAAAACAGGACAGAAAAAGTATGAGAAGTTTTGTATCCTATCTGGGTGTGTTCTCTGCTTTCGGAAAGACTATAATTGATTTTTCAGTTGGTATTTCTGTGTCCTGGGGAATAGATTTACTAGTAGTGGAAAGGATTTTTTTTTTTAAACCTGGAATATGATATAGTATAATAGTTCTTTGAAAATAGACGCTTCTGTTAGCGTCAGTCATTGTCTTGTCCACCCATGTGAGACACAGGATGAGAGAAATTTCTAGAGGTACCAAAAAAGATGCAGGTTATTATAGAGAGGTTTGGAATGTATTTGCTGAAATGAAGGCAGCCCAAATCAGATTACTAATCTGCTGTTGTACAAATATTGGAATGGTGACTCTGAATCGTTATTACTCAGCTGCCATTTTGCGAAGTGTTTCTTTATCAAATCTAAAAAGCTGTCTGCCGTCTTCAGACAGCTGAAGCTCTGCATTTTGTATAATGCTCTGCAGATGGCTGGTTCCAGATAACTACAAGGAATGTAGCTGCATCTCTGTATTAATAATCTATGGTAAAGGTGCTATGCAATGGCTTTAAAAAAGCAAAGCAAATCTATGTTATGCCATGCTTGTGAGTCCTCATTTTAAATATCTGTGCCTGACTTGATCTCTCTAAGATTTCAGACCCACTATGCAAACCTGTTAAACAAGGATAAATTAACATAACTACAGAGGAAAAGTTGCATTGCAAGACATGGTTCTATTAATTTATAGTGAAACACTTTGAAATGCCTCTCAAATGTATCATTAATAGTCAGTTAAACTTAAAGCTTGACCTGAAAGTTCAAAATAGTTTCTTTCATAATGCAACAACAGAATAAAAGTAAGAATGTATGCTGTAATTTTTATATAAGTTATGTATTTTTGAAAAATCCAGTATCTTAAAGAACTGGGTCACATGATGACTTTTATAATATAGAACTGTTTTTAATCTAATGCATGGGGTTTTTTTATTTATGATTGATTGTATTTGTTATATAGAGATTTGGAACTTGTTGATAATTTTTTTATTTACATAAAACTGATTGTAATACTTTATTTTGTCATATCATTGTGAAGCACCTGAAAATAAAGGGTGATAAGATATTTTTAAAAATTAAGTTTAACTTTTGTATGTTGTCTCATCTCTGGAGCAAATTGTCAGTTCCTTTTCTCTAAAGTACATTTTAAAAGTTAATTGGTAAACATGACTAAGTCACACCTGTTTCACTAATGTTGGGGAAAAAACTTCACCCCTGAAGTACTGAAACATACAGTCCTGGTAGAAGTCACCAAAGTAGGTGGTAGAAGTCACCAAAGGCAGGACATTTTAATGCTCAGCATTCAGTTGTTTATGTGTCTTAAATTTTGAGAAGTGCTTCCATTTTCTTTTCTTGGCAATTTCTTCTGAAGTATGCTGTAGCTCAGAACTTGGAAAAAAGAGAGCTTTTATCTATCCTGGAGGAATGACACATATTGTTAAAAGAACGAGGCAGATCGCAAAGATATTTGCCTCATTACAACTCCATGATAATCTTCCAGGTAAAGTAATTTGCCAATCCAAGAGTCATCAATAATGTACTACATGGTCTAACCTACAGTGTAACTACTTAAAAGAAGAAAAATTGTGTGAATAAGTAATGTGGCTATTTCAATGGCAGATTATCGTTATGATTCTTAGGAAAATATTGTATAGAATTTTTTTAATGCATCAGTATAGCTATCTTGTAGTGAAAGTTTGGAGTATTTCTGAATAACATTAAAATACAGAAAATGTATTTTAAATCTAACAAGAGTGGGGTCCTACAAAGCCTAGACTTTTTAAAAAGGAGCATTAGTAAGCACTAGAATGTGTGTACTTTTTATTTTAAACTCTAAGAAGCAAAGCTCAGATATGTGCTGATAGTAAGCTGCAGTCAAGAAAGACTGTAATCAAAACCATTCTAGAAGTTATCATATTATTTGTATTAGCACAGCGTTGATGTGCTGTTCTCGTAGACCAGAGCAAGTGTACAAACCAAACTGAAATGCTAAGGAGAAGGAAATCTGGAAGTTGGAAAATCTTGTTGTAACACTATTTTTTTTTTATTTGAAGAAACTTCTTTGTTTTCAGGTCTAATGGCCAGATCTATTTTGTGTTGCAAAAAATGAATATATCAGTACACACTAACTAGTTGTAGGAGAAGAGAAAGGAGAGGGAAATGAAAGTTTCATCACCGACTCAAAAGTGGTGAAAGGGACATGCATTTGGGAGTTCTGAGTTTACTGCGGGGCAGA